AACAGTAACTAACACTAAAGAAACAAAGAGCTACAAACTACCTGTCAAGGGACCACAAAGAACTAAATGATTTAAGGATTTAAGATACTGCAAAAGGGTAAAAACAAAATGCTATGGAGTCTCATAGTAGAGTCCCCAGGGTACAGGAGTCAGCAGACATCTCCCAGAGTGTCTTCTATGCTGAGACTTGAGGATTGTGTGGGACAGACACAATCTGTCTTTAAATAAATAGGAATTTAGAGTTGTAGTTTTAAGCCTTCCTAGAAAAAAAGTTCCGGGATCAGATATCTTTAAGGGTGAATTCTACCAAATGTTAAAAAAAGAAAAAAATGCCAATTCTTCATAACTCTTCTGGAAATTTGAAAGGATGGAATACCTCCTAATTCATTCTGTGAGGTCAGTATCATCTTAATGTCAGAACTATACAAAAACATTACAAGAAAAGAAAATTACAGGCAGGTACCTCTTATGTATATAGATGCAAACATTTTAACAAAAATTTAGATAAAATCTACAATATCTGGAAGTGATGGGTACATAATGACCAAGTGGAATTTATTATAGCAGTCCAAAGTTGGTTTAATATCCGAAAACCAATCGATTTATATTAACAGACTCACACCAAAAAAAAAAAAATGATCATCTCAATAGACACAGAAAAAACGTTTGACAATATCCTGATACAAATTCTTATCAAACTAAGAATAGACCTAAATCTTATAACTAAACATATAAACTGAAACCATGAAACTTACAGAAAGAAACAGTGGAGAAAACCTTTGTAGCTTTGAGTTAGGCAAAGCTTTCTTATATATAATATACAAAGCATGAACCAATAAAGAAAAAAGTTGATAAATTGGAATAAACCAAAATTAAGAACTTTTCTTTTAAAAATACAGTTAAGATAATGAAAAGACAAGGCTGGGAGAAATTTCTTCAAATTACACTTCTGATAAGGTACTTTAATTTTGGATGTATAAATAACTCTTAAAATTCAAAAAACAAAGAAATTACCTATTAAACAATGGGCAAAATATTAAATTATGCTTTTCACCAAAGAAGATAGTAGATGATAAATACGCACATGAAAAGATGTTCAACATTATTATTCATTAAGGGAATGTAAATTAAAACCCCAGTGAAATACCACTATATGTCCACTATGATCCCTAAAATTTAAAAGACTGACCATTCCAAGTAATGACAAGTATGTGGAACAACTAGAGCATGTATGTAGCAATGTACAATCACTTGGGAAAATAGTTTGACAGTTTCTTATAAATTTAAATATACAATCACTGTATGACCCAGTCATTCCACTCTTAGGTATTTGCGCAAAAGAAATGAAAGCATATATGCATACAATAACCTGTACACAAATGTTTATAACAACCTTATTTGTCATAACTAAAACTATAAGGAACCCAAATATTCATAACAGTTGAATGGATAAACAAATATTAGTATATCTATATAATGTAATACTATTCATTTTGTAAAAAACAAAATGAATTATTGATACATGCAACAACATAGCAAATCTTAAAGTAATTATGCTGAGTGGAAGTTGCTGGACCAAAAAAGGTAGTATATAATTCAATTTTTATAAAATTCTTGACAACACAAATTCATATTGTGACAGAAACTAGGTCAGTGGTTGCCTGGGGATGGTGTTGGGGGGAGGTAATGTGTAACAGACATATAAAATGGTGACATGATAAAGGGGCCTTAGAAAATTTTGGAGAGGTGAGAGATATGTTCAGTTCCTTGATTGTAGTGATAGTTTTTCAGGCATATATGTATGTATAATAACAGTTATCAATCCATACACTTAAATATGAATAATTTATTAGATATCAATTTTACTCAATAAATCAGCAAATAAATACATATGCAAAAACAAGACAGTGGGACAAGATTGATACATTGAATTTGACATGATCTTCCATGTCTTCAAAGCTATTAAAATTTTAGTGAAAAGTAGACAAAATTGGAATCAAAAGAGTTTACTTATAATGTCTAGTTGTGATTGTATTGTCTAAGTAACTTGCTCAGTTAATTATTTACTCATAAATTATGATTGCTATTAAAATACTTTTGTGCATTAAACTGAAGAAATGGTTGTCAAACATGGTCATGCACAAGAGTACTCTGTAGGAAACTGTTAGACATGCAGATTGCCAGGGAATTTCCCCTAGGAATTCTGCACTGAGGATATGGTTGTGGGATCCAGACATTTGCAAGTTCAGCATGCTTCTCAGGCTGCTTTTGATGTGTGTATCCATAGACCATACTTGGGAATTGCTTCTTGACAGAACATTATTTACATAAAAATTTGTACGAACCAGGATGAATATTATGGACCACTGGTGTCAGGCTAAAATGGAGTCTTCTTGATCTGGCTTTGCCCATATGTACCCAGACCTATTAGAGAGGGCAGTTGACTTATTTGCAAGTGGCAGCAAGTTTGCATTTTGTATGTTGGATGATATTTATGGCACTTACCCTCATTAGAAAATTAAAAGTGGATGGGTAGCAGGAAAAATTAAGGCTCTCTAAGGCTTCCTTTTCTCTATATTTTTCTCTTCTGCTTCTTCCTCATAATATGTATTGAGGTACATTTGGCGTTTTGTGTCGTTATCATGCTTTTACCAGATCTTTCAGTAGGCAGGGGCAGCAGGAAGAAGGATCCATCTTCCCCTTTATCGGGTACCTTGAAAAACTAAAAACACAGTGAGAGCAACAAAATTCACCACTTTAAAAAATATATATTTTATTTTAAAGATGTGGGTACAATTTAGGATTGGGTATATAAGTGATCATCATACAGGTAAAGTTTGGGCCTCCTTAAGGTCCTCACTTTGCCTGGTTTGAGATCAGGTACCCTTACTGATGTCGTGCCCCCCACCCCAACTATGGAAGTATACTGCTATTGCCAATCCCTTTGTAATAGTATTATGGTAAATATTTAGGGTCTACTTATGAGTGAGAACATGTGGTACTGTGTTGTTTCTGTGACAGATCACTGAGTATGATAGACTCTAATTCCATTCAAGTTGCTGCAAAGTCCATATGCTTGTCCTTCTTTATGGCTGTGTAATATCCCTTCATGTATATGTACTACATTTTTTTATTCAGTCCAGTTTTGATGGGTAACATGGCGGTCCATGTTTTTGCTATTGTGAATAGTGCTGCAATAAACATACATGTGCAGGTATCTTTTTTGTAGAGTGGTTTAAGTTCCTCTGGGTATATTCCCAGAAGGGGGATTGCAGGGTTGTATGGAAGATCAATGTCTAGTTCTTTTAGAAATTGCCACACTGTTTTCCATAGAGGTTGAACTAGTTTGCCTTCCCCCTTTCTCTGCATCCTCACCAGCATCTGTTGTTGTTTTATTAATGATGGCCATTCTTACTGGGGTTAGGTGGTATCTCAGTGATAATTCACCACTTTTAAGGCTGAGATCACGGAGAGCAGAAAAGCCTTCCTAGAATGTCTTTCTTTGTGCCTTTCTGGAAATAGTTTATGGCATCTATCAAAATATAGCACTTCTTACCTTCTTAACTACTTATAAACTGCCAGGAAGTAATGTTCTGTGCAAAGTTTTTTTTTTTTTTTTTTAATTAGAGATGATGTCATGGTGTGAGGGAGTGACTGAGTCATCTGTTTACTGACCTGGTCTCCAGTATAATCAATGGCAAGCGTGGCAAGACTAACAGCTGTTGTCAGGGAGTTGGCCTGGGGCTGTGGAGTAAAATTTTTCCTTGAGTAAGTCCAAAGAGTTGTATAGTATGGAGTTCATGACTTCAGGGTCTTGCACAGGATGTATTACCAAGAGTGAACCGACTTAGCCTTCAGATTCCAAGATTGCAGGGCTACATACATACAAAATGGAGCCCAACTCTGGAGGTGGGTGCCAGTTTTAACTAGGTTGTGCTGATCTGCATCTTTAGAAAAAATAACAGAACTTTTAATGTAGCCAGTGTTATAGATTTTGAGTATGTGGCTTGCTCATTTATTTATTTATTTATTTAGAGTCGGCGTCTCACTCTGTCACCTAGGCTGGAGTGCAGTGGCACAGATATGGCTACTGCAGATCCTTCCACCTTAGCCTTCCTAGTAGCTGAGACTACAAGCATGCATTACCATATCCAGCTGATTTTTAAAATTTATTGTAGAGATGAGGTCTTGCTAAGTTGCCCAACCTGGTCACCAGTCCCTGGGCTCAGGCAGTCCTCTTGCCTCTGCCTCCTGAAGTGCTGAAATTACTTACAGGTGTGAGCCACCATGCCCAGTTTGATTTGATAATTTATACACTCTCACACACATATGAAAGTTTTGAAGAAACGTATGCTACAGATAATCTTAATATATTTGAGCTGTCATAGCAGAATACTGTAGGCTGATTGGCTTACAAATGGAACAGAAAAATTTATCTCTCACAATTCTAGAGGCTGAGAAATTCAAGATCAAGTTACCAGCAGACTCAGTGTCTGGGGAGGGTCTGCTTTTGTGTTCATAGATGACTGTCTTCGTGCTGTGTCCTCACATGACAGAAGGCACAAAGGAATTTGGAGTCTCTTAAGAGGACACTAATCTCATTCTGGAATTAGGAATTCAACATAAGAATTTTGGTGAGATATATGCATTCAGTCTCTAGCAGATAGATTTTAATGAGGGACTAAAAAGAAGAATTGAAATCTTTACCAGGTGAAGTGGGGACTAAAGTAAGGCCCAAACTTTACCCACACAATGACCATTTGTATACCTAACTCTGAATTGTAACCCACAACTTTAAAATAAAAAAGAAATCCTTCAAAAAATTGTAAGTATGTTTATAAACTTGAAGAATGTGTCAATGTAATTTTTTAATAAGTCAGTTTTTTGGTGTTTACTTGGAGAATCATAGATGTGTTGTTTACTTTTATACTATACATTTATGTAGTTGAATATCCCTTATTGTCTTGTTAGTATTATATTTATTGTTTTGCTTTCCATAGACATGATGCCATTATTATCTCAGGCACCGAAATGGCCAAAAATATCCAGAAAGAAATACAACGAGGTGTGGAATCATGGATTTCCCTTGGGAACAGAAGACCTCACCTCAGTATCATTTTGGTGGGAGATAACCCAGCAAGCCATACATATGTCAGGAATAAGATAAGAGCTGCCTCCGCTGTAGGTAGGTATATGTTTCAGTTGTCATTGTTACTAAATATATTTTCTGTTTTTACTTAAAAGTGTGATAATTATGAATGATAAGTATCAAATAGGTGCCATTTGAATGACATGTATTATTCTTATTAGAGATTATTCAATTACCAAAGTTGATGTTAATTTCCTTTTTTCTTCGGATTTCTTGTAGAATCAATTCAGTGTGATTTTATATCCTATGGCAAGATGTGAGAGGAATACTTAACATTTAAATGGCCCATGTTTATTACATTTACATTAATCAAATAATAAACCTAACCTAGTTCATTCTGTTGAATTTGACCTAATAGTGGTAGTGGTAGTGGTATTTTTATTATCTTCAAATCCAACAGTAGCTTATTTCAAATAAATGCAAGTTGTCATGTGGAATACTAGACCAAAGAATGCATGTGAATCAAGGTAAAACTCCTGTACTATTTGAGAAATCTCTCCTGATGGTACATTAAGCACTGTTTTTGTATAAGAACCTTTTCTTTTAGCGAGAAAAATCCCATACTGTGTAAGACATGAATAATGAAAAACCATGTCTTGTTTAGTCAAGTGACTTTCTCTGGTTGTTTTTCTTCCAGGTATCTGTAGTGAGCTTATTCTAAAACCTAAGGATGTTTCTCAGGAAGAACTTTTGGATATAACTGATCAATTAAACATGGACCCAAGAGTCAGTGGTGTATTAGTTCAGTTACCACTACCAGGTACATGATTCTCTTCTATATCTCTGGTTTGGTTAGGAGAAGGAGCATCTTTCAATTTTGTATCATGACATTGCAGATAATTTACAAAATATGTTCAGAAGGGTACTAGCTGTTATACTAGTAATAGAATAATAGGTGACAGTTTCTGAATGATTTATGCTTACAATAACAAAGAATTGTGAAAGAAAAATGTTGCCACTGGCACTACATGAACTTTTTGCTTTACACAGTAATGCAGGTCCATAAGAATAACTCTGCCAGCTGAAACAGGACAAGGTGATCTTAAATAATCAAATGGAAAAAAATAGCAATTTTTCTGTGACCTTTAACTTTTTTTGTCAAAGCATTAAAAGCTGCTACTGTGGCTTATGAATGTATAGGAAAATGAAAAATTAGTAAAACTAATATTTATTTAGTACATTGTAACTTGAAATATTAGAAACATTGATAAAGTATTTTATTTACTTGCAAAAAATTGTCAAGAGTAGTTTGAACAGTGTTTGTCTTTTCCTTTCATAGCTTATTATATGAAGCAAGCATCTCTTCTGTACTTTGGTGGATTGAATCATTGTATTTCTTTCTAAGTTTGGATCAGCTTCTAATAGTTTGTTCTCTGTACTTTCAATGTTGTGAAATATCTCTGAGAGTTCCTTTAATATGGAGTTCTATGCCAGTGTCACTGCCTCTGGGATATCATCATCCTTTTTGTCATGATCACATTCCTCATTTATGTGGATGAGTTTGCCTTCACTAAGTTCCTCTGGCTGCATAGCTACATCTCTCCCAAGGATGCAGTGTTCACATTCCATGGTCAGCTACTTCTCATACAACTCCATTTGCATTCAGTTAGAATCCTGTTGGAGTGACTTTTTATGTTTATCAAGTTGATTCAACATAGTTCTTATCTTCATCTCCTGCAGGCCTAAGTCTCTCCTAGCTTTGCTTTACTGTCTGCATTTTCAGATCTTCTACACACATCCTGTTTCCTTTCCAGGAATATCTCGTTTTGTTTTGCTTCTTTGCTGTAGTGCGTCTTCATAGTCGAATCCCTTCTGTTGCTTATCTACTTTTGTAAAATGTCAAGTGAGTTTATCTCTGGGAGACATGGAGACAACACACTCTGCTGTGTTTGAACAATGACAAATGTGCAATGACCAATCATCAGGAGACTTTGAAAGAAGTGCCACTATTGGTCACTAATCATCATCTTGTCATCTGTTATTTCCATAGTGATTTGTGGATTGAAGAGCTAACAGCTCTTCTATAATTGCTCAGAGTTAATATAGCATAATAGCTGAAATTTATACTGTAGTTGTTGGAGGACTGGCATTACTTAATTGTGATTCTGAAATGCATGCATATTTGACCTGTGCAAAATGATGACTGCCAGTGCAGGATAGGCTACAGCGGTTTTGTACAGTTTTGAATTCTGTGTGGTTTGACCTATAATTACATGAAGTGTAAAAAGTAGAGATGTACGATGCTATTATATAGAATCTTTTTATGGTATTAGTATGTTTCGTTATCCAATTATATAACTTAATATCTTTTTTTTTGAGTTGGCGTCTCACTCTGTTGCCCAGACTGGAGTGCAGTGACTGTTCCCAGCCACTGCAGCCTCGACCTGCTGGGCTCCAGCAATCCTTCCGCCTCAGCCTTCCGAGTAGCCGGAATTATAGGCATGTGCTACCACGCCCGGCTGATTTTTGATTTATTGTAGAGATGAGGTCTCGCCAACTTGCCCAGTCAGGTCTCAAACCCGCGGGCTCAGGCAATCTACTCACCTCAGCCTCCCAAAGCGCAGGATTACAGGTTTAGCCACCGAGCCCGGCTATAACTTAATATCTTAACATGTTATGGATTTTGTGCTGTTTAAGTTATACTAAAAAGTTATACTTCTAATTCTTTTTCTTCAATATAGTAGCACTGAAAAAATTATCAAGTTAATAAAGATCTTAGAAGTTTTTAGTTTCCTCCTGAGAAAAAAAAATGTTCCAGCAAATGACGTGTTAGATTTATCATGTTAAATTAGTGTAGTGATCTCACTTACTTTTAAAACTTAAAAAGAACTCAACACTCTCATTTCATATTATAGGACTATGAAGTATAGAGAAGATCAGGAGTTTATTAACATCACAGATCTGTCCAGAAGTTTTTAGCAATGCCTCTCAAATATTTTGGTACTGAATTTACCAAGGAATTTTCTTCTTGTTTGCAGTTTTTGAAATTTCCTCCACTTGGCACTTGTATAACATTCAAAGAGCTATATAAAACCACAATATTAATTCCTAAAATGCCCATACTATGTAAAGTGATCTGAAGATTCAATGTTAATTTTTATCAAAGTTTTTCACAGACATAGAACAAAATCCTAAAATTCACACAAAACCAAAATAGACTCTGAATAGCGAAAGCAATCCTGAACAAAAAGAACAAAGCAGGAGACATCACACTACCTCTTCTTAAAATCTGCTACAAAGCTATAGTAACCAAAACAGCATGATACTGGCACAATTACACACAGTGTAGTTCAATGAAAGAATAGAAAGCTGAGGGATAAATCTGTGAGGGATAAAACTGCTAGAAGAAAACATAGGGGAAAACCTTCTTGACCCTGGTCTAGGCAAAGATTTCTAAGATTTCTTGATCATGATCCTAAAAGCACAGGCAATAAAATAAAAAAACAGGCAAATGGGATTGCCTCAAACTGAAAAGCTTAATGGCAGTAAAGGAAACAATCAACAGCAAGGAGAAACAATCTATGGAATGAAAGAAAACATTTGTGAACCATATATCTGATAAGGGGGGGATATCCAAAATATATAAGGAACCTAAAAAACTCAATAGCAAGGAAACAAATTACCTGATTAAAACATGGGCTAAGTACCTGAAAAGACATTTTTCAAAAGAAGACATGCAAAAATGGCCAACAGATATATGAAAAAAAAAAGCTAAACATCATTAATCACCAGGAAAAAGCAAAGTAAAGCCACACTGAAATTGCACCTCACACCTGTTAGAACGGGCTGTATCAAGAAAATGAGTAAAGTATTGGTTAGGATGTGGAGAAAGGGGAACCCTTATGCACTGTTGTTGAGAATTTAAATTGGTATAGCCATATGGAAAACAGTATGGAGGTCCCTCAGAAAGTTAAAAATAGAACCACCATATGACCTAGAAATTCCATTTCTGAATATTTATTCAAAGAAAATGATGTCAGTATGTCAAAGAGATATCTGCACTCCCATGTTTATTGCAGCGTTATTCACAATAGCCAAGATATAGAATCAACCTAAGTGTCCATTAGTGAATGAGTGGATAAAGTTAACATTGCATCTACAAATTCAATGCAATACCCATCAAATTACCAGCAACATTCTTCTAAGACCTGGAAAAAACAACGCAGGAATTCATATGGACACACAAACGTCCAAGAATAGCCAGAACAATTCTCAGCAAAAAAAACAAAGCAGGTGGTATCACATTACCAGACTTCAAACTCTACTATAAAGCTACAATCATCAAAACAGCTTGGTATTGGCATAGGAATAGGCATATAGATCAATGGAATAGAATTGAGATTCCAGAAGCAAAACCTCAATTTCTCAACCAACTCATCTTCCACAAAGCCTCCACCACCTACCACTGGAGAGAGGAGAACCTATTCAGTAAATGATGCTGGGAAAACTGGCTGACCACATGCAGAAGATTGAAACAGGACCCCTACCTATCCCCATGCACAAAGGTTGACTTCAAATGGATCAGAGACCTAAATGTAAAACCTCAAACCATAAGAACCTTAGAAAATGAAGGACATACCCTCATGGAAATCGGAACTGGCCTCCAGTTCTTGAACAAAACCCAAAACCCACAGGCCATAAGAGAGAGG